CAAGGAACGGATCCTCTGAATTGCCTGTTTATAAGACAGACGGCAAGTGTTGCTTTAAAGAGCTTTGTGAGTCGAGCTCGACCACAAAGAACATACACACACAACCTCCCGGGGTCCCATATCATGGCGGTTATGAGTGTTTTCTTTTTTCAACCGCGCTGAGAGTGACGTCTTTTCGGTGGGCAGCCGGTTGGCCCGGCCGATGCCAATAACAAAAATACACGCGTTTGCGAAAGGTTTGAAATGCAAGTGGCATAGATGCATTTGGCAGAAACCCCAGAGGGGGGTAGGCGAAACCCAAGTTGGTGAATCTGTTCGTGGGTGTTCAGGCTAGAGCTTGAAGGTGGGGCTTTGCCAGAGTGGTCTGCCAAGCGTCCGCTCGCAAGCATATCCGAGCCGGGGGCAGTCGAATATGCGGAGCTGTGACGTGTGCTCTCGCTGGAACCACGCTCAGTCTGTGTAGAAGCAGTGAGCGTCTGTATCGCGTTTGTCTTCGTATTCACAACTAAAACGTTGCGGACGAAACAAGATTACACGACTACGGCCTTGCCCTTCTGGACAAAGATCGCAGAGGAAGGGGGAGCGAGAGATTCCAGGCTACAATATGCGGCAAAACTCTAAATGTCTGGCCCTGTGCTCGGCTCTGCAAACAAGTCGGCCGAAACGAGGCATTCTACAACGAGACGTCCGACGGAGCGTCGCCGTTGCTTACTACTTGTGCTTTCAAGACGACCAAGTTTCGGGCAATTCTGAGGCATTGGAGCTACTTGTTTCCTATCGATCCGAATGCGTATGCTACCACGACAAGAGTTCCTCGTGCGCCCGCTAAACAACCGCATGTGTCCGTCTGCGGCTACGGCTAGGAAGCTCAAGAGTTGGGGTTGAGTTGGTTCTCACCTCCATAGCCTCCTGTTCTCACGGATCCGCCTGTAGAGTTGTCTGGTGCTTGCGCGGGAGGGGGAGAAGGAAGGCCGTCACACCCTGCGCTGCCGCCGCCACCCGCCGCGGCTTGTAACCCCGACCAATCCTAGCCACGCCCGTTGTTACCGGCGCGGTTGGACCCCACCCTGTCGAATCCTTTGGCATCGTGCGTGGTCCCGCTCGACCCAGAGTCGTCGAAACAGTAGATTGGTTCACTGGGTGTAGGGTTTCCTGCAGTTACCTTGTTGCGTGACGGGACAGACCCAAAAACGCCACTGGGGCCCGGCGAAAAAGGCTGCCTCGTCGCTGTCGACCCCTGAGGACGATACACGCCGGTTGGTCCAGGAGATAGCACGCCCGGCAGCGGATCGTTTGCGGCGACACCCGGCCTAGCGGCCTCTCCCGCCTGTGCACCCAACATCCCCGCTTGGGCCAAGGTCGACAAGGCCGCAGCGATGGATTGGGGTGATACCACCCTGGAAGTTGGGAGTAAGCAATGTACTAGGATTAGTTCAGGTTCGAATGATGTTTCCGCTTTGGTGATATCATATCAAACGCATAACGTTCCTGACGCCGGGCCAGGCACAGTACGTCAATGCGCAACTTCGCTGAAAAAGGAGGGTGGATTAGCCTAGGCATGATACCCAGTATGCCGGCCATGGGCACCGGGACCGAGTGGGGGGTACCAGAGGAAGAAGTGGGCATATGATCACGGCTTTGGGGGTAGGCGTGTCGTCTGCATGCCAATAAACTGAGTGTGGCCCACCATGGCCCCGTGCGTGCATCCCAGATGAAACGTATTGAAACTAATAGGGCGGGGGATACCTGCGGCCTGTGCTAACGTCATCCCTTGGGCTAGTACTGTTGAGGCTAAACAATCCGAAGTTCCATCGCATCAGCTGGGCGGCATGCCTCCCATACACGGTCAGTCTACAAAATCTCCTGGATATTCTCGTTGACTATGTGGGCAAATTCTTCATTCGCTCCGACGTGTCCATTAACATATCCCAGGTGGAGACAATCTGGCGGATCGGGCTACGCGAAGCGGTTCTTTCCTGCGGTTGACCGGGGTTGGTCGGGAGAAGGCCAGGCGTCGCTGGCACCGTGTCATCCTCAGTCCACGCCGCCTCAAGGATAGCCGTCAAGGTGGAAGGGACACAGGGTGTGGTAGATGCCACCTGCACGGAAAATAATCTGCGCGGAATATATATTTGCCGGAACGTCGGCAATGGCTATTAGCGAGAACACATGTGGGTATCGAGGTTGCCATTTTTTGTAGTCGGGGCTGTCCCTAAAGCTCACGCGTTGTGCCTCATGAATAAAGTCTGCCACACCACACAGCGATGGGGAATCGTGTCCCTCCCCGTTCTGTTTAAATATTGTTGAGCACCAAGGCGTACAGAACGGCGTGTCGATTCCTCTTGGAAATTCTTTTCGGCGTGGTAGGCATACAATGGCACGACCTTACACCTCAAAAAAACATTCATCCACACAACGACGACGCTAAACATTACCCGGACTCCCTTCGACGCATCCTGGGCATCGCGAGTCGCCACGGCCGCCCTGTCCCCGTGCGTCCTCTGCCATTTAGAGTGTGTCTTCCTCATCTATTTTCTCCTGGCCGATAACACCTGGGAAGCTTTTTTTCTCAACGCCTTCCGCTCCTGTTTGCTGACGTTGCGCCTGGCTTGTTGGGTTTCCCCCCTCTACCTCTTCGTGGTCGCCGTCATCTTCCCAACTGCCTTGCCCCCATCCAGTTCTATGACCTCCGACTCCGGCCCCTTCCCAGTCGAGGGGGTGGCGCTACTGCTCGCGGTCGACCGAGCGCGGGTGGCCGCACACGCCTTCGGCGTCTTTCTCGACTTGGGCCCGGCATCGACATGTTGGACCTCTGACGGAGCCACGCCCGTGGAGGAGGAGGTGCGGTCAACCACTTCTATGTCGTTTTCGATGTCCTCGTCGTCAACGCCGGCGTCAGAGTCCTCGCCCCCGTCGTTTGCATCTTCCCGGCCGTCTTCGCTGTCCTCCTCGTCGTCGTCGCTGTCTTCGTCGGACGTGTGACAAATGGCCGAGTGGGATTGGTCCGGCCCTTCGTCCCTGTAATTTAGCGGGTCGTACGTGTCGTCTACGAACGACCGTACCGCCTGAAGGAGTCTTGTTGGTAGTGCTGCCTCCTGGGGTCTTCGTCCTCAAGCTAGGAACCTCTGTGTTTTTGCTTGTACCGGTCGCGCAGGAGCCGATGAGGGAGGGGGGTCGGGGGGGGGGGGCAGCAGCAGGTGTTGATGGCGTGTGTTGTTGCCATAACGGAGTCTAGCAGGGAAGGCGGAGGGGATTAAAATTGGGGTTGGATACATATCGCGTGAAATCATCGGGGGACAGGTGCTGTCTCTTGATTAGGAGCAATACGTGAAGAGTCTCCCATGCCGCCAAACTTGGCGACTGGCCATGATTTGGGATGACCTATTAAGGCATAGACGAGATGTCGCCAGCCGTGCGCCATAGGTGGAGATCGGCTTCCGAGACACGGTCGGGCAATCAGAATAAGAGGGTCTGTCTGCGACAAAGCTGAATGTAGGTCGGAGACTGAAGCTTACAGCTTCAGAATACAGAAACTAAGGTATTGTTCCTTCTTATGCTGCACTTCCTCCCAAACCCTCACCGGCATCCGTCGGGGAATGGCCGTCCGCCCCATTGTGGGGCGGGGGGCCAATCCTCAACCCTAGTATCTCCATATCCATTCGCCGTCGTGAGCGGAGACCCTCGAAAACCACTGTCGCATGTGTACTTTCGAGGCAGGGTAACCAAGGCCGAGCGTCAAAAGAATCACAGATACCCACAAACAGCAAGCTCTCCACAAGCACAAAGTTGTGCCTTTTCTCCCTGTTTGCTGTACGGGATGCGCTGAACATATGTGCATGCCGTGTTACATGACAACACAACCGCAAGCAATACCCTCCATAGTCGTAGACTGCCCGGTAACGTAGCTGTACTACAGGAGCGTCATAGTGCGTGCTAACTCTACCCTACCGATAAATATCCCCGCAGGTCGTGCCGATGGCAGCAAACAGCAACGCCTTGTATGGCTCTGAGGCGACCTGTTCAAATTGGTGGTGGTGGAGAGATGTAGTCTACACCACAGGAATGGGACGACTGGCTTTGAACGCTGCCGCCCCCCCACGCGCTGGTCGTAGGCGACTCTGGTAGCGAAGTTGGGGTGCAGTGTAGACTACATCTTTCCAGTCAACGCACAGAATGCCCGGGATATTCAAGTGCAGTTAGGGTTAGGCAATTTCATCATATTAGATTCGCCGGCGTTAGTGTGACATCACATTGTGTAGGCTTGTGCTTTTGTGCGGGCGCGCCAGAAAGAAAACAAAAAACCCGTGAAAAAGCCCAGGTTCCGCGAAGTTATGGTTCAAAATAATGACGCTCGGCGGCTTACGCCTCCACACCCAGTATGAGCACGTGCAAGATACATGAGAGTGGGTGCGCGTCTAGATGCATGTCTCGAGTTAAGGCGTTTGCATCAAGTGGCACGGTTGTGTGTGCACAAAAGCTGCATCCCAAATCAATACGCCAACTCACCAATGAAATACGAGACGCACGCACTTACTGTTACCAGAGAGAGAGAGAGAGGCAGACAGAGAGAGGGAGATACAGAGACAGAGACAGAGAACCGACACACACACACACACAGAGAGAGAGAGAGAGAGAGAGAGAGAGAGAGAGAGAAACAACAAATGGCAGAGAGAGAGAAAGAGAGAAAGAGAGGAAGAGAGAAAGAAGGAAAGAGAGAAAGAGAGAGAAAAAACAAATGGCAGAGAGGGAGAAATGTGAAAGGGAGAGAGGCGAGATTCATCAGGATTTATCAGTTTTCACCAGAAACATTCCGAATGCGTATTTCTGTTGCGTGGCGTTTCACATATGAATAACTACGAGGAGGCAAGAGCAGCATAGCTGCGAAGTGAACTCATGGGTGGACGGGCGCGCATCTACATGTGTCAGAGAGAGGGAGGGAGAGAGAGAGAGTGTGGCAGAGAGAAAAAATCAAATTGGGGAGAGGCGAGATTCACCAGGGTTCATCTGTTTTCCACTGAAAATAATCTATACGTGTATCGCGTGGTGTCCCACATATGAGTAGCAAAGAGGAGGTCATGCAGCACACTCCCTGCGAAGTGGACCCATAACGTAGTGAAAGATGCTGCAAATATACGTTCTGTTTGTCTGCATGGTGTGGCGTGGCCGTGGGTGAGCGAGCGTGCCATGTCAGTACTCTCACTGCGAAGTGAACTCATGGGTGAAAGGGCACGCAATTACAGTTGTCAGAGACTAAGACAGAGACAGACAGAGACAGAGCGAGAGAGAAACACAGAGAGAGAGAGCGGTAGAGAGAGAGAACAACGGCCGGCGCTGGCGTCACCAGTAGAGGAGGAGGAGGAGGGGGGGGGGG